GAGCCGCCCCAAGGCTTCGGCGAATGGGGCGGCATAGAAATTTTCTAAATAAATAAATTTCCCAAACCAAAAACACTTGCTTATTTGTTTGTTTTCCAATTTCTTATCATTTGTTTGGTAGGCATGTCACGAACAGAGCCAGCTGGAGCCGGGGGTTAGACTAGATGGCCCAGGAGGCCCCTTCTGACTTGCTTAGTTTCTGTGTTTGAAATAAAGCATCGCAATAGTGTGATGAGGTGTTAGGAGTGTTGGACTGGGACTCAGCAGATCCAGTTTCTAGTCCCCACTCAGACATGAAGCTCACAGGGTGACCTTGGGACAGTCGCAGATTCTCAGGCTAACCTACCTCACAGGGTTGCTGTTGTGTGGATAAAAGGGAGAGGAGATCCTTGTAAGCCCCCTTGGATTCCTTGCATTTGGAGAAAAAGCAAGGTATAAATGCAATGCAATCAGAATCACCACAGCAATATATTTAGCTTGCATTCTCCCCCATGTGTGAGAAAGAGATCAAAACTGCCTTGTGTCTTGGAGTCCAGCCAAGTCAACAACTTCCTCACATTTTCCTAGACTCCAGTGCATCCCTTCCTCCGCAGAGGCTGCTGGGGATAGGATAGATTCTTGGATGGAGACCTTACCGCACCCTGTAGTCCTGTCGCACATATAGAAGAGCGTTTAGAAAATCTGTTTTCCCCCTTGGTAGGGCAGAGCCAGGGAATTGTAAATATCTTGCTTAGATTTGTCTCTTTGCCCATTTAACGCAGTGGGAATCCTTGCTGCCTGAGGTGGCTTGCAGGGTGAAGATGCAGCCCTTGAGCTCCCTGGAACAAGCAGGATCACCATACAAAAATGCCAGCACAAGAGCTGTCTAATAAACACCTTCTGCTACACAAAATTTCTTGTGGGAACCAGCTCCGGATCCCGGGGCACCTGCCCATCTCTGCGTAGGAAAGCCCACCTCCCCCTGCAAAAGGGTGGCAGTAAGACCTTCCCCCAAGATTCCCTCTGCGATGGGAAGACCATTTCAGAGTGAGATCAGAGCAATGGGATGAAGCAGAAACGCTGTTTAAACTGCCAAACCCGTTTCTGCTTCTCCTGTGATCAGTGTACCTGGCGCTGCAGCCCAGCATCTTCACAGTTCTCTGCCTCCCCTGAGAACATGTCACGATGATGAGCAGAAACCCAGTCACAGAAGACGGTCTTTGAAGCAGTCCGTGTGGTGCCAGTCTCTCTCGTTATTTCTGAAGTGGAGAGAGACGGAGAGAAGGCAGGCGCCCCCCTCCCTTGGCCTGGTTTCAGAGAAAGGCCTTCGTAATGCTGCTGCAAGGCGACAATGGCGCACCTGAGGGAGCAGAGGGCGCCTGGCCTCGGAAGCTCCACTCCAGTTCCCCGCGAACGCAAGTAGGGCAGGCAAAAGCTGGACAAAAGAAGCCAGGTGTTGCAGCCACATGGAGCCCAGCGTGCTGGTGGGTTTGGCAGGAAAAAGGAAGCCCAAAGCCCTCGTTTCTTGGCTGCTGCAGAAGTGGAAGTGTGGCTGCTGAGGACCCACAGGAGGGAAGAACTTAGATGGCACAAGAGAGCAGCTTGAGAGCAACGCTCAGTGCAGAGCGGAACAAGAGAAAAGGGATTTTGAGATTTGAAACAGACATGTGCACGGATGTCTAGCTACGGCGAGCGTGAAGCTGTGGTTATCTGAGGAACCTGCACCTCTGTGCATAGCAATAGTATTTTTTTTAAGGGCGGACAAGCAAGATCAGTCTGAACATGGAAAGATGGCCATATCCCTTCCAAAGAATGTTTTGATTCCCGTCGTTTTCATTTCTGTATTGCATTTTTAATATTGGCATTGCTGGCAGGCTTTACTCTTGTGCGCACTTTTATTTTATTTTAGTCATCGTAATATTTTATACCGCATTTGATGTTTTAAATTGTTGTAAACCGCCAGCCGTTCCCCGGCTTCAACTATTGGGTGGTTTTAAAAAAAGTCATTCATGAATCGATCACCTGTCCCACGTGACCAGGCAATGCTTTTGCTAGCAGGGAAGCGTGGCACTTTGCAAAGGATTAAATACACACACAAAGCAGGCGCAGATTAACCCTGAACAGGACGGGATGTCTCCCCGGACTTCTCCTCATACTAAAGGATTTTTTATTTATTTAGTTATGTTGTTATTTATTTAAAGGATTTCTATCCCGTCCTATTACAAAGACCCTCTCCCCACCCCAGCAGGCTCTTTATTTAATTGCATATTTATTTTACAGCCGCTATGTGCATGAAGTGCCCAGCTGCAGGGCGCTTCCAGGGATGGGACGCCTCGAGCGAGCCCCGCCAGGGGCGGAGAAGGCGCGCTGCGCCTTTAGCGTACCGCCACGCAAAGTACGCCCGATGGGGCCGCAGAGTCGGGCAGAGGGGGCGGGGCCTCCCGCTCTCCCCCGTCACGTGAGGCCCTGTCGCCGCCTCTCCCCGCCAATGGGGAGGCGTGCCTGCCGCGGTCACGTGGGGGGCGGGGCCTATGGCTGAGGGGGTGCATCGCGCTGGGCGGAAGACAGGCCGGAGCGAGCCGCCCGGGGCGTCCGGCCGGAGGGGCTGCGGGGTCCGCCGGCGGAGGGAGCGCGGCATCCGCGGCCTGCGCGAGGGCTCGGGCGGGGAGCCCGGGCGGCGCGAGGGAGGATCCGAGCGGCAGCGGCGCGCGGGGAGCGCCGGGCGTCATGTCCATGGAGGACCCCTTCTTTGTGGTGAAAGGGTGGGTGCCGCGCCGGGTAGCTTGGCGGGCTGGGCTGGTCCGGCCCGGGGCCGCCCGGCGTAGGGGGAAGGGTGCCATTGCGTCTGCAGCCGCCCAGGGGTGCTGGTTCTGGGCGCTTCTTAAATACGAACGAGAATCCCCCCCCCCGCCTTGATTCAGCCCATGGAAAAGGGCGGCATCGTCCCGCGGGGCCAGCCGAGGGGTGGGGGCTCCAGCCCCGGGGGCACGCCCCTTTCCCTACCCCCTTTCCTTACCTCCCTGGCCTCTCCCCCGATCTGATAGTTTGGAGGGTCCCTGCCTTTGGTGCAGAGGCATGTAAAACATAAACAGCGATAATAAAAAGAGCGTCTCTGAGCATGAACAGAGTGAGGCTCTCACCATGGTGCAGCTGTGTAGTGTTGTTCACAAAGGCAAGGAGGCCATGCTTGCACTCTCATGGGGCAGATGGCTGGCCTCATCCCCAGGCCCTTGTCAGCCTTCTCAGGAAATCATGCAATGATGTATTCCAGGAGACTAGTCTTCGCATGCTTTTACTGGCTCTTAAATTCTGGTGTAGCAGCTCATGCATGGAGCTGAAGTCTATAATCAGGGCTTTTCCAGATGAAACACTTCCAGGGGGTGATGAAGTGCAGTTATCCACCTGTTGCCACATCCCACTCTTTTTGCAAAGTGATGACAGTTCTGTGGGGCACCATAACTTTCCTAATACGAAATTCAGGATATTTTGTTTCAAGAAAAAAATCATTTTGCTCTCTTCCTCTCTATAATGCATCAACTTTATTATTACATTAAATTTATATACTTTTTTCCTCTTGTGATGAACCCAAGGTAGCTTGCATAGTTCTCTGTTTTTATCCTCACAACCACAGCCTGACTCAAAGTTTCCCAGGGAAATTCATGGCCACGTGGGGACTAGAACCCAGGTCCTTGATCCTGCCCTCTACCTACCACACTGAAATAGGATTTGAGTCATGGTCTACAGGCATGCAGCCTTCGTTTTACCGAAATTTACTAACTTTAGATATGTGCTTGTTGGGACTAGCTGCTAGCTAGCTTGTTGGGACTAGCTGCTAGCTAATCTAGCTGCTGATTTTTTGAGTAAACTCACAGTCACCTTTTTTATCTCTTCACATTACATGTGTTCAGTAAGAATTGGTATGTTTAATTGCTCCATGAAGGGTCTTCCATTGGAATTGTGTCTTTTCTATATGGTCAAGTTTTAAATGATTGTCACTAGAAAATTGCTTTGATAGAAACATATGTGACTTTGGACTCTTCCACAAATGGTTGGATTCTATAAATTTTCAGCAAGCAGATTTTTGTTGGAGAGAAGTTGAGAGCTGGTTCTATTCTGTACAGAACAAATTATATGAACAGAATTATATACAGTTGTAAAACAGCTCCATTCAAAGTAAGAATTGGAAGTCTGTTCCAGCTAAATGGTCCCTGACAAGCTGATGCTTAGAGGTATATGTTAAATATATAGGGAAATGGAGGAACACACAGTTGTTTTGACGGAAGTTTATGAATGGAGAATTCCCCTCCTAGTGGAAATGATGTTATGGAAAGTTAAAGAATGGGAATACAAATTTGGGCTGGGCACATCAAGCATTGTTTAACTGTTCCACAGTGGTGTAGTGAAGGCCGCACTCCATGCAAGACTTGCTAACAGTTTGAGGTTAGATTTAGGATAAGCTGTCATCAAGAAGCTGCTTGAAGGGAAACCATCCAGAAAGAATCCCTCACCATAATTGGACTTCTGAGGATAGCCTTGCAGCTTATATTTCCAATACATCCTCCACCCCAGTGGTTAATTTCAACTCGATCTTTCAGTTAGCCTTTAAATATTACTATTGTCTAAACAGATTTGGGCATAGGCATTGGAAAGTTACATCTGCCAACACAGGCAAGTGCATTGATTGTTTTGGTGACTAATCATAGAGTTGGAAGGGGCCATTAGGTCCAACCCCTTGCTCAGTACAGGACTTGTAAGTTAAACTATCCCTCTCAGGTGGCTGTCCAGTTGTATCTTGAATGTCTCTAGTGTAGGAGAAGCCACAGCCTCCCAGGGTGATTGGTTTCATAGCCATATCGCTCTAACAGTCAGAAAAATTTTCCTGATATCTAGTTAGCATCTGGCTTGAACCCATTATTCCATGGTCTGCACTCTGGGATGATTGAGAAGAGAACCTGTCCTTGCTCTTTGTGACAACCTTTCGTGTACTTTTAGAGTGCTATCCTATCTCTCTTCAGTCTTCTCAAGGCTCAACATGGCCAGTTCTCTCCATCTCTCCTCACAGGGCTTTGCTTCCAGTCCCTGCATCATGCATGTTGCCCTCCTCAGAACGCTTTCCAACTTGCCCGCACCTTTCCAAAACTGATACCCTGAACTGGACACAGTACCCCTGATGATGCCAATCCAGTGCTGAGCAAAGGAGAACTCGTACTTCATGTGACTCGGAAGTGATAATGTTTATTAGTGCGACCCAAAATAGCATTTGCCCTTTTTGCTGCTGCATCACACTGTCGACTCATATTCCAAGATCCCCCTCACTTGCATTATTCTTGGGCCAGGTATTCTCCCATCTTGCAAGGATGTATTTGGCTCCTTTTTCCTAGGTGGAGAACTTGGCATTTGTCCCTACTGAATTTCATTCTGTTGTTCTCAGCCCAGTGCTCCAGCCTATCAGGAGCATCTTGGATCTTCTTTATGTCTTCCAAAGTATTAACAATCCCACCCAGTTTTGTGCCATCTGCAAATCTGATAATCCTTCCCTGCACTTCCTCACCCAAATCATTAATAAGAATGTTGCCAAGAATTGGGCCTGGGGCTGAGCCCTGCAGTACCCCACTCATTACCTCTCTCCAGTTGGCGGAGCTGCCAGTGATGAGTCCAATTCTGTCGCCAACTGTGGATCCACCTGGGAGTTGTTCTTCTAGCCCACGTTTAGCTAGTTTGCTCATCGGGATATCCTGGGGCTCTTTGTCAAAAGCTTTGCTGAAGTCAAGATATATTATGTCCGCAGCATTCCCACAGTCCATCAGGGAGATTACCCAACTGAAAAATGAAAAGAAAATGCTTATATTAATTGAGCAATGAATCTGACAGCCTCCATGAAAATAAAACTGTTTCTCACCAGGCTCATAAACCACATTTGAAGCTCTGAATAACTTCAAAAGTTAGGTTTCTCCATAGATGACAGTTCTGAAATGCAGGCTAAGGGTAAGGAACAGTTTAGTCACCCAGACCCTAACCCCTTCCTAGGCACTTGTGCTACTGATCTGTACATTCGCTGAGCACAAGAGTTGCATTTGTATAGCAGAGGTGGGAGGGCATTTGAACTAGCCAGTGGCATGGGCATGAGCCCACCTGGCATCATCCAGTCTCCCCCAGTTGTACCAGTAATGCAAGTCAGACCTGCAAACACAAAAACACATTCATTGAGGTCTGTGAGCACTGTGAAGAATTCTGTGCATACAAAAATTTCTTGTCCACGTGAAGATAATCATTCTGGAGGACTGGCTTACGAACCTGCATCCATACACCAGTATTTTCAGAGGGAAGCTTTCTATTTCTATTTGCAATAGTTTCTATTTGCAAGCTGATAAGTGCAAAATGCTCACAGGTGTATGTTAACAGGTGTTAATGTCACAGGTATTAATCATGAGGTATTCTGTCAAACCGAAATGCTCTGGTTTGTTGATGTTTCTCTCCCTTTCCAGGGAAGTTCAGAAGGCAGTGAATACTGCCCAGGGGCTGTTCCAGAGATGGACAGAGCTCCTGCAAGATCCATCCACAGCTACAAGAGAAGAAATTGACTGGACCACTAATGAGCTAAGGAACAACCTAAGGAGTATTGAGTGGGATCTTGAAGACTTAGATGAAACGATTAATATCCTTTGGCTTATCAGAGCAACAGATACTGAACCTACATAGTATTTGCTCAAGATATCAGATGATTTTGACACTGAATTACGCAATCCAATAAACCAGTTCAGGTATCGAGGAGACAGTACCTCCATTATGTTAAAAGTTATCCTTCTAAGAGTCCCTTCCTCCTCCTCGTTCTATAGTGCACAGAAAGAAAGCGACATTGGAAGTGGAGACTGTTAGGCTGGAATCCTGTCATCGCCTGGCATCATCCTGTGAACACAGATGGGATTCTAAGGGCCAAGCCCCTTGCCTTTCCCCTCTGCAGCCTGCACATAAAGAACCTTCCTGCTCACAAGTGATTCTTGGAGGGCTAAAGGGGGCACGCCAGTGGGTGGGAAGAGGGGGGCACGGGGACTGTGGACTTAACGCAGACTTCAGTCAGCGCCCCAGCCTCCTTCCCTTCCCACTGGCTGTTTACACCAGGGACAGTGCAGGGTGTGGGGGGCAGCAGCTGTGTCTCCCTCTGGCCACTGGACCTTGGTAAGTCTCAGAGGCTGGAGGCGCGTTGCATTTGCCACAGGGGCAGCTGGACATCAAAAGTATTTAAATTCTGAATCCAGTAAAATCCTTTCAGTAGCACTTTTCAACCCAGAGACACTCAAAGCAGAGTAGAAAAAATAAATATATAAACAGGAAATTTAAAAAGCAGCGTAAAACACTTGGGACAGATTCTTTACAGCAATTCTGTCGTCTGTAGAAAGCCTCCTGTTTGCTTTGTTTTGTGTGTGCAGAAAAATTGACCATTTAAAAAAGCAATAATCATTAGATATAAATGGGAACGAAGTACCAAACAGAGTTTCCTTAACTGGCTCTTCCCAACGTATCGTTGAAGCAAATCCACGGAAATTCAACCTTGATGCAACAGAGCTGGGTGTAAGGAAAGCCTTCATCACAAGCACGCGGCAGGTGGTCCGGGTAAGGGCATCTGAGCTACCTGGGGCATAAGACGGACACCACAGCTTCTTGGAAAGAGTAAAACAGCCTCTAGTTCACCATGGCATGAAGAGGAAACATAGCCCTGAAAGCTCAGTAAAAACAAAAGCAGAAAGTGATTGTAAATTGTAGCAGATCAGGCAAACAGCTTATAGCACTTAACTCTGTTTTATTAATAGAACCTGAAGGTTAATCATAATAAAACTGAGGCAAGAAGTAATTTGAACAAAGCCCATACAGTATCATACTCAAAAGATGAATTTCAGATATGCCTGCACAGCTAGTCCTATGAAACCAACCCAGACTTTTGACTTTCTTATAAAGGCATCCCTTCATTTCCATCACTGGGGCATTTGGGCGGGGGGGATACTTGCTGCAGAAGCACCTCCCCCCTTTCACAAGCGAAGGTTTGCTTCTTGAGGCTCACCTTTGATGGCCGTCAGGGGAAAGCAGAGTCAAATATAATTTGTTTTGATCCTCTCTGGGCCATACCTTCTGCCCCAAAGACAGGCCTCCGTTTCAGACCCACCAAATTACACCACTGCACTTAACGAAGTGTGACTAACCCCCCCAACACCCCTTAAGTGCACAAATGTGGGCCGCAAAAATAACCCAAGCAGGGTGGCAACCTAGTTACAGTCTTTCCAGTGTGCCGCTTGGGCACTTCAGGAGGGCTGTGATTTCAGAAATTGCAAGAAAAGGCGTGGGGTGGCAGAAGCTGCGTTGTGTCTAGAAGAACTTGCAGTCCATGGCTAGGAGAGGTGGCGAATTTGGCTGTGCTGTCGTTTGGGGCGCAGGTGAATCTGGTTGTCTTTTTGGTGAACTGGGGTTGGTTCTGTGAGCAGCCCATTTCCTGTGGCTTATTCCCAGGGTGAGTTAGCATGACATGTGAAACTTCTCACTGGGTGGGTCTCAAAATTTTGTAGGCAGACTCCCTTTTAAGAAAAGATACGGCTGTTGAACCACTCGATATCTTCTTGTACTAAATGGAATAATTTTATGAAAACAGTCACAGCATCTGCATGTATTTCAGTTATGCTGCCTTTAAAGTAAAATTTTAATGGGGTGGGGCTTATGTTTTTTACCAAATAGGATATGAAGGATCAGATGTCAAATACTTCTGTTCAAGCACTGACTGAAAGGAAAAACCGGCAGGTCGGTATTGCAACTAAATGGCTTTTCTGCCTTGACCTCAGAATGTGGTAGATGGGTACTAGGTATTTAGGAGTCAAATCAAGGGTGTAGAACGGGTCTGGGGGGTCAAATCCATCTCTGGGGAGTTTCTGTCTGATTCTCTAGGATTCTCCTGAAAGGCACCCCCCTTTCTCAGTGCCTCACCTCAAGGATTGGCTGGCTTCTTGGATTTTGTGGATTTTCTTCTATTTCAAAAGGTTGACGCCCCTCTCCTGAGGCTAAGTTACTGGAGGATTAAACCAAAATATAATTGTGTTCATGGGAATGCTGGCTTCGTCCTTTTTCCCCCAAGCTCCACCCACCATTTGAGGAACTCCCAGGAGCTTCCCTGCAAGGGAATTCAGCCCTTACGTTTCATTTAAATAGGGTGCATCAGTCCCCTAAAAAGAGATCCGTTTGCTTCCAGTGGAGCTGAGGAAGGACCAAACAAGTCTGCAGAAACATTTTTTGTTCATGCATGCACCTAAACACGTGGGAAGGAGTTCTTGTTTTGCCCAGGCCGATCCTCCCTGACAAGGCTGCTGCCTGAAGAGAGTAACTCTTGCTTTCCAAAAATAGCTGTAGCTTCTGCGGAAGATGGATGTAGTAGTCTGGAGGCAGCCGTCGCTTCTCCTTTCCACTTAGTCAGAGTGGGTGCAAGGCCGTGGGAAGCTAGTCAATCCCTAGACTCTTCTGCCCGTCCTTAACAGATTCCACCCTAGATTCCTCTGAGAGGATGTAGGAACTGAGCCCGAGATTCAAACGCATCTTGCCTCCACAAGCGAAATGCTGCATTTTGGAAATCGTAGCTGCAGCTTGTATTTTCATCATGTTTTGTTATAACTCCTGGTTGACCTGTGGGATGTTTGGGGCGGTCGACAAAATTGCTTCCACGTGCTTTCATCTATTGTGCAAAGCTCACGTGACTCAGTTTTCTGAAGACCGTAGGGCCGTGAAGCACTCCAGCTGATGGCTAGGGCGGCAGCGGCCAGCTAGGACAAATATGACTGAGTGTAGACAAGAGCCCGTTTCAAGCGCTGCGCTGTGCCAGTGGCAGCAGCAAAGAAGTCATTCTTTTCTGCTGCTGTTGCATCAGCGCAGTGATACCCAAACAGTAAGGGGCTGTTGCATTCTGTGTCTCAGAGTGGGGGTGGGGGCAGCCTCTTCAGCAACCGCCTGTGATGGGATTGCAAAGCGTTTTGCTGAGGAAACCATTTGCGGGAAGCAGGCTCTGTGGGTGCTACTGATGGAGCTGCTTGCCCAGCTTTGATGAATCCGCTTTACCGTGCCCAACCTGTGGATGTGGACAAGTTGCTTGGAGGACTGAGGCCGGGCACTGTCTTGCTAGACCATAGTTCATCCCAGTTATTAAAAGCTGCTGGAGGGGCCTGGCCAGAGGGATGGTGGATGCCACCTTAGGAGAGAGGTGTATCCCTGTTCTTTTCATAGAAACTGTGCTTTTTTCCCCTTTTCTCTTTTTGGAAGTGTGTGGGGACCTCAGCTTAGATAATCACGGTGCCCAGCATTCTTTTTTGGGGCAAATTCTACAGTGCCGGTTGGCAATGGCATTCCAGACCATCTTGGATTAAGCTATTCCAAGCTATTTTGTCCCATTATTAAGCTATCAATATTTCTAATCTGCCGGATCTCGGCAGTATTCGGCACTGCCAGTCATGGTTTCCTGAGGCATCCGGCCAGTGCGGGGCTTGGAGGTACTGCGCTGCAGCGTTTCTGGTCTTCCCTGCTGAACACTCCCAGAAGGTGGCGTGGGGGGCTGTTGGATGTCTCTGGGGTCCCAGAGCACCCCTGCTGTATTGCCTTTGCTGTTTAACATCCACACAAAGCCACTAGGAGAGGTCATCCAGAGTTTGGGGGTTGGGCCTTACCCCTTTGCTTGGGAGACTAGCTCCTTCTCTGCCCACTGATGCCAAGAAGGCCACGGAAGCCCTGAACCTTGTCTGGATGCAGTGCTGGACTGGATGTGGGTTAACAAGCTGAGGCTTAGTCCAGAAAAAGCGGAGGTTCTTTTGGCCATTAGAAAATTTAATCTAGGATTAGAGTCACAGCATGTCCTGCATGGGGTGATGATCCCTCTGAAGGATTGCATTCAGAACTCGGGGGTCCTTCTGGAACCGGTGTTGCTCCTGGTTGCCATGGAAACTGCTGTAACCAGACTCCATTGCACCATTGGTGATACTTCTAGTTTTCAAATTGTATTGACTTTGTTTACGTTTTCACTTCAAGCTGCCTTGGGGCCGTTTGGGCTAAAAAATGACTCAATAATGAATTAACACAGGTCCTACTTGGAGAAAGTGGAACTCACAGCTGGAGTTCTGGAGCTGACAAGTATGTCCGCTTGGATCGGGAACTGCAGTCCGCAAACTCACATTTTATTGAGGATCAGCATGTGCAGCAACAGGTAGCGTATTTTCTGCAGCCAGTCGGACAAAATCCGTCTTTGCATATGGATGGTCAAGTGGCAACAGTGGGGAGACAGGCATGCCGGTGGGCCGGCTGGCCAGCCACTAATCTAACAGAACTTCAAGGCAAAAGCTTTGTCCTGGGGTCTCTAGGGCTTCAGGTGAGATTCAGAGGCACCCGCATAGCCTCCTGCAGAGAGCAGGTGGGAAGGAAGCCAAGTAGGTGACGGTGCTACTTGGGTCCCTGTGTTCTGAGGTCCAGACCAAGAGGAGCCTGGGAGAGCCCTACTCCTTTCAGTGGAGCCCTGGGGAGGAGCAGAGTTACAATCACACCGCAGACACATGGGCACAGCATCCAAGTGAGGAACTCAGGGATGCTCGCAGCCTTGGTAGTAGCCGTACACAAGCCCTTCTTTTCCACATGCCCTAAGAGCGCAGTCTTCAAATTGGGCTATTGTAGCTCAGCACAGAGAAATCTCCAGGAATTAAGAATATTGTTCCCTGGTTGTGTTATTTTCTTAGATCTGTTGCCGCTTGTCGTTTTCTGCCAAGTTAGAGAATGCTTCAAGCTGTTTTCCCCCTGGTGTAGCCCCTGATTCCCTCCCCATCACCCCTCCCCCCAAAAAATCTTCTCTTTCATTATGCAGCTCAGCTGCTGTCTCCCCAAAGGCTCTTTATCTCCATCACTATTCACCAGATAGTCCAAACGAGACACCTTCAGCAAGATTGGACCGCCAGATACCCGTTCTTAAGCGAGTTCAAGGCAGCTAGCTTAGTATGAAACATAATGATTGAAATGTTTGCTTGCGCTTAAGACCACATTTCTGCCAGCACCACGTTGATTTAATCAAGAGTTAAAGTTGATTGTTCTTCGTCGTTTTACTTGGTCCTGCTGAGCACCCAGGTCAGTGCCCAGTTCAAGTAATGTGCATCAGGCGCTTAAACAGGATGTACACTAGTACAAGACGGAAAGCATTCGGTCTTCCTTGGAGTTAAGGGCAAACATGCAAGGTGGGGATTTCTTTTAGAAAAGGGGAGCTTCTGAAAAGGGAATAGGAGATGCAAAGCAGTGACCATGTGTGTTCATCAATCTCTCTCGCTCCCCCCATACTCATGCAGATTTGGGGGTGACAAGAACTGCCCCTTTCTCCTTAAAGCTAGACTCAAGAAATTAAGATGGGGGAGGATGCGGAGTTGTGCTTACCTTGCTGAATTCCCAGCCCAATTGCAGCTGCGGTTTAGCTATGCTGACCTCCCGCTCCACACTTTTTTTTCTGGGTACCAGTTAATCATCGAGCAGCAGGATGAGCAGTTGGAGCTAGTCTCTGGCAGCATCGGGGTGTTGAAGAACATGTCCCAGCGCATTGGAGGGGAGCTGGATGAGCAAGCAGTGTGAGTATGGAGCACATTCTTGTTGCGGTATATCCAGTGCGCTTGCCTAACAGCATCCTGTTGAACGGGTTTCTCGCTGATGTTTCTTGCCTTCCTTTGTGGGCTTCCTGAGATGGAACCAGTTCTGTAGACTCATGCTGAACTACCAAGCAAAGTTATTTTGGGTTGTGCTTCAACTTTACAACAAAGTTGTTTGCTTTGGGAGCTTCCTGGGTATTGAAAACAGTTAGATAAAATATCATACATGTGAACATTTAAAAGGGACCTTTTTATCCATTTACAAATGAATGACTGGAGTGTTTATTTCTCTGAATTTAGTTCAGAGAAATTTCTCTGAATTTCTCTGAATCTAGCAAGCGGTGTAACTGCTTCTTAAAGAATTTTGATGATATACTATTGTAACACCACCTGTTAGCTGTTAGCATAAATTTAATTTGTGAAAGATTTTGCATACCTTGGTAGTTCAGCAATTCAAATGGGGAGTGTAGCCAAGAAATTCAAAGGCAGTTGGGACTTGGAAAGGTAGCAATGAAGAAACTTAGAAAGATGATCAAGTATGAGGAAGTTTCACTGGGCACCAAAGCCAAGATCACCCACATTATTGTATTCCCAGTCACTGAAGAAAGCTAACATGAAGAAAATTGATGTGTTTGAAACTTGGTGCTAGAGGAGAACTTTGTGAATACCCTGAACAGAAAGGAAGATGAATATGTGGGTCCATTTTTGCTTTCCCTTTTGCTTTTGTCATTTCAAGCAAAAATGACAAAACTGAGGCTTTCATACTTTGGACAGTTCATAAGCAGGCGAGTCACCCTGGAGAAGACGATCATGCTAGGGAAGTCTGAAGGCAGATGAAGAGGAAGACCAAGCGTGTGATGGATGGACTCCGTACCGGAAGCCCCAGCCTTGAACTTGCAAGAACTGAGCAGGGCTGGCAAAGCCATGGCATTTGGTGGGGGAGGCTTTCATTTCTAGGATCGCCAACTTGACAGCACATAACGCAACAACATAAACCTACGGAGCTTAAAAATCAAGACTGTGGCAGTGCTTTCTTAACACACCTGAAACTGTGTTTCACAGGCACACATTCCTGTTAAGCTGCATTGCATTCCTCCCTGCTTGCCCCGTGTTCCTCGTGTGCGCGAGTGTGCATGCACTCGTGCGTGTCAGCAAGGGCAAGTGTGCGGTGTGCATCTTCTGCTGCCTGAGGCAGGGAATTCCCCCTGCGTCACAGGAGCGCTGGCCCACCGCACCTGCAGAAGATGCCCTGGTTCACTCTGTTGTGTGTGTGGCCAAACCTGTGAGCTTGCCCGTGCTTCTCCCTGGTTTTTCACTGCCTTTCATGTCCATGGTAGCAGCAAAATGCAGGGAAGGTGAGAGACACGTTTGAGTTTGGAGGCCAAGCCGCAGAGCAGGGGGCTGGAGTGCCCTTCAGAAAGAAGCCTGCACACTCCCACTGTTTCCACTGCTGCTCTGCGCCATGGCTGCAGCCCCCATGGGGATTAAGGAAAGGAACAGGAGGCAGCAGGGACCCCGGGAGGAGGAAGCAGGGGCTGTGGGCTTGGCCATGTGGAACAAAGGAAGGACAGAGCGGGCGGTAGACACGTGTCTGTGAGAGAGAGGCAGAAACCTCTTTGTGGCGGGTTCTGTAACTGGACGACCAGTGCTGAGAACGTCCTTTCCCACTTGGCCGAGCAATGCGTCTCCACTGAACGGGGCACATGGGAAAGGACCTTGGGGCACAGACGGTTGGTGTGGGAGACGGCACTCTGCCAGTTCTCTGGATCCAAAACTATCTGGGTGCCCCTGCAGCTCCAGTCCAGGTTTTCCTTTTTGTTCTATTTTACTTTACTTGTTTGGTGCTTCGGGTGACTGCCATGTCCTGTCTCTTCTGTTGTGTAGTTACCAGATTTCTATAGCTAACTTTTGTCCTCTTCCCATGCTAACTTGCAAAATCAAACTGAGTTTCAAAGCTTAGTCCATAGGCTTAATCGGGCTCTCTGTCCTCTGTCTTCCTGGCTCCAGCATGTTGGATGATTTCTCTCATGAGCTGGACAGCACTCAGTCGCGACTCGATAATGTGATGAAGAAGCTGGCAAAAGTGTCCCATCTGACCAGTGGTAAGTCGCTTGGAATGGTGCAGCGCTGCGTAACGTGTTCAGTCTTCCACCAGTGCAGGAGGCAGAAGTAACTAGCTCGGCTAACATTTCCAAGCGGCTGCAAGGAGGCCACTGCATCCCCGGCTGGTGCCGTTCCGGAAAGCGTCTCTCTTCAGACCAGGGGGATGAGACCCCGACTTCCCCAGCACAGCCCCGAGCTGCCAGGAAGCAGCAGTGGGGCCCTCTGGCTGCAGGATCACCCAGGCCCTTCGCAGATGTCAGGCAGGATAATTTTAGTTCCTGCTGGGGAGAAACTGTTGGCTTCCTGCAAGGCATTCAGAGCTCTGCGTCTCTTCAGCCTCTGGTTAAAGGCCTGCAGGAATGGAGAACAGTCTCCCAACCGCTGGAATTAAGAGTGTGCCCAGCACTAGAAACCTGGCCCAGTCTTGCAGCATGCAGTTGCTCACAGAGCCCTGCAGAGTTGGCTTCCAGTGCTTCGGGCTGCCCCTCCCTCCTGTTCTGCCAGCCTGTCCTTGCCCGTTTGTAACCTCCGCTGGCTTTATGTCCAGGAGTAAACTTCAGAGGTACCAGAAGAGGCTTCTGGGGTTTCTGACTGCTTTCCTTCCTATGTTAAGCGCTGGGAGATTACATATGTTGTGAATTTGCGCTATATAAGTAAAATTGAATTTATTGCTTTTCATGTAATGTTAATGTTTTTGTGAATATTCATTAAATAGTGTTGTTCTGTGCTCCACATTTTCATTGTATCATTGTAATGTTTCATTTACTGTTTTTATAGAGATATATATTGAGCAGAGCTGTAAGTGTATTGGTCCGGCCCGTAACAACTGTCAAAGTTTCTCATGTGGCCCCATAGGAAAATTAATTGCCCACCCCTGCTCTAGATCCTAGCACCCACTACAACCAATCCAGGACTCAGTTTCCAATTCGTAAACCAAGGCCTATGCGCCAGGCGGCGCATGCATGTTACCGTGCCACACGGATTCCCTTGAAATGCTGCAGATGCAGCCATGCCTGGGGTCCATGGACGGGAGCCATGCCTCCATGAATGCGACGCCCTCTTTCCCTTTGTTAGGATCCGAGCTCTGCAGTCTGCAGAAGCAGCTCCCTTCAGCCTTTGAGAAGCAAGGGGCTAACACAGACTTTTCCCCCTTCTCTTGTTTGGCAGATCGGCGGCAGTGGTGTGCAATCATTGTTCTCCTCATTATCCTGCTGGTGGTGCTTATCCTGTGCATTGTGCCATGATGGGCCGGGCCTCACATACTTCACCTAGCTCCCTTCTTGATGAAATATCAGATTTTTCTGTCTGCCGGAGAGAATCCCCACCACAGAAGACCTCTCGCGGGGACTTGGTACTGTGTGCTTCTGTGAACCAGCAGCATGGCTCCGTCTTTCACTCTTCTTCTGCCTTCAGTCTTCATCAGCTTCCCCAAGGAAGAAATGGGAGACAAACGATGCCCAGACTCTGCAAGCACAAGAAGCCTCTCCTGGGGATTTTGGACACTGCTGTTTTTCTGTGCTGCTCTGTAGGGACAGGTGGTTCAGAAAGGAAGAAGCTGATGCCATTTCCGTCACGTTGCCGGTGTGAAGCGCTCCAGACGCCTTTCCTCTCCTTGTCAAAGCAGGACTTTTGGCATCGTTAAAAACCAGCAGACAGAGGCCATGTCCCCAGGCGGCAAACACACTCCGTGCTTGCAGATAGTCCACTGCTGACAGGGTTGTTTCAGAGGCCCGAAGCTGCGCGTCCTTGTCCTGCAAAAGATTCTGGAACCCTAAAAGAGGCGGGGAAAGGGGGCCCAGCAAAGGCAGGCGTGAAATTCGCACTTTGGATCGTACAGTGTTCCTTCAGGCAGAAGCACGTGGTGGAACCATCCTGGGCAAATAGCTGCGTATCCAACTGTTGCAGTACCCAAGTAGCTGCAGAACCCAGAAACGGGACAGGGAGGGCCGTGAGCTGGTAAGACGCTGAACCGAAACCAAATGCGAACCCTGGCTCACCTGGGAGGCAGGGCCTCTGCCAGCCCTGGGCTAACCTGGGCCCTTGGCTGAGCTGGTGCTCAGAAGCGCATCCAAACCATGAGCAAATCCTGCTGTATGTGTCTGAACGGTGACCGGACTGTGCTGTACCCCATCGGGCGACCAGTGCAACTCCAGCTTTTGGAGCTTTGACCTGTTCTCCTGCCCTGCAAAGTGGCAGGCTAGCTAAAATCTTGCTGGCGGGCGGGCGGGTGGGTGGGCGGAATATGTCAGGCTTCAAAAGCTTTACCCACAGGGAGGTCTTTCCCTGCTTTCTGCTGCTTTTTATTAACAGCTGCTTCTGTTTGGTGACCGTCAGACCTCACATTTCATGGCAGTCAAGGAGAAAATAGTCACCCCCCCCCCCCCCAGTCAGGGCCACCTCCTGTGCTGTGTGTCGAACATGTGCATCTCAAAGGAGGACTTGTCTCTCTGGATGCCCAAGTATGCGCAGGCTGTCAAGAGAGCTGCTCCCCCTTTCCTGTCTCGGAAATGTTCAAGCCAGGGCAAAGCAAAATGCAGTCAAAAAAGCACGTGGAAGTTCATCCTCGTTCCAACCTTGCGATAAGAATGTTAACCGTGGCCATGTTACTCTCTCTAAGTCTGAGTCTTTCATTTTGGTACTGTAGTGATGCGCTACTATAAACAGGCAGTGTCACAGTGGTCCCTGTGTGCTGCAGAGCCCGTTCCCCCCGACGTCCGTTGAGTGCGTAGAAGGGGTCCCCCAGCCCTGCTCTCTGGGATGGGGGGTGGCTTGCACTGGCCTCTTGCCAAAAGCTGGCCCCTCTTCAAAAGATTTCACAGCCCTGTCCTGCCTGTGCGCAGCTCACTAATTGGATAATACTTGCATGCTGGGAGGAGGGAAAGATGTGTTAATTCAATGACTTGAAAATGCTAAGCAAGTTCCACACAGTCAGGGTCCCATCCTCCAGGTGAGCGGGTCCTGGATTTCTTCCCACACTTTGGGATTTCTCGTCCTTTGGGGACCTCGAGTGGCAGAAGCAGCCGGGGCCTCGCCGCAAATGCCAGCATTGAAAGCATGTTTCTGTGTGACCAGAGAGGCAGCTGAGCAGGAGGCTTCCATCACCACTGAGATTCAGGTCTCCCCACATCTCCCCCATGAGCTGCCCAGGAACCGGCCTGCTCCGAGAAGTCTGTATGAGCACGGGGGCGCATTTCTTGCCCCGTGCCCTTGCCGTCCGGAGTGGTGGCCGGGCCTTAAGGATGCTGAGGAGGGGCATTCGGGCTGCTTGAGGTTTTACTAGTCCGACTTATTTTTTGCCAGACCCTTTTAATGTGTGAAGAACGCCAGTGTTGCCTTTGCTCAGCCGACTTTTTGTGGGACTGTCTGGAACCCAGCGCAAGGTTCCAAATGCTTCTAGCAGATCCTCGGTGGGGGAGGGCACCCATCCCCGGCTGTTGCTGGGCGCTTCCAGGATGGAAACCCAGCGTTTCCACGCCCTGCTGTGCCTGGTCTGCTTGCACAGCTGGGAGCAATTTAGCTCTCCTGCCTTTCATCTCGGCTTGAAGCTGCTGGTCCACAGGCATGTGAAGCAGCCAGACGACGGCCGCTTCCTCCCACGTACACATCTCTCCTCCCTCCCTCCCCTTCTCTGGCCTTTCCTTTTACATAAGTCAGTCCTAGGCCAAGAGCCCTTTTCCAGCTCCAACTTGTTTACAAACTCACAGAGGGGAGCAGAAGCTGTACCCCAGCAGACCACCTTGCCCCGTCTTTCAGCCAGAAGAATCATCAGGCGCTCCCCTCTGGATGGTGGCGTCCCCGCTCCCATGTAGACTGGAAATAGTAGCACATCAGGGAGGCGAGAAGAGAGGGTGGCTGAAACAACCCGGAGTGTCACCTTTGAATGGGGGGGCTCGTTTAGGCTCTCTGGAAGCTTGCTGGGTGCTCCGTTTAGTAAAGACGGGCAAACCACCTCCTTTTGAGCTCACCTCCATTCTCCGAAAACCATTTCAGAGCTCATTTTAGCTTGCAGCTAGTTTAGGGCTCAACCGTTTGGGGGAGCAGGTTTCATTCCAACAGAAAAAGGTCTGCATCTTTTTTAGAAGTGTGCACTTTGCCCCCTTGACTAAAGTGTGAAAATGGAAACACGTGCACTTATTTTAGAAAACACAGGATTTGTAGTTTTCCAGTTCAGTTGTGTAAGGGGCAAATTTGCAAACGTTTCTGCGGAAGTGGTGTGCTGCCCACATTTGGGATTGTGAGCAAGACACGGTGACGTGACTCACAAGGAGAAACAAACCGCTCCCGGGGGCCTGCTGTTCAGCTGACGGCAAATGAAGGTGCGCAAGGGTCACTGTCTCTGGCTCTCCCCTTGCACCGCCCTCGGCCATGGGAGCAGGGGCCGTGGCCTAGGGCAGGCACGGGGCACTACCAGGAATCTGCCTGCCCTGGGCATCCGCTCAGCTGCTGCAGGATGCTGGGTGCTCCGCACAAAGGGAGCCCTCGGGATGCAGAGCGTGGCGCAACAGGTTTCTCTCTCCCATGCCTCTCTCCATGCCAGCAGTTACACTTCTGTGCACTTGCGAAGGTCAGAAGCCAGGCATGCTCTGCCCTTTGCTGTTTCCAGAACTGTCTCCATTCGTTAGAGACGTCTCAGCCTCCATTTGTTCAGTCGTGAGGACTGAGCCTTGTGCTTGTGCATTCGGTGGCCCGGCTCCTCTTTAGGGGCGTTTTTAACTTGTTAAAAATAGCTCTCTCTTTTGTAACGTCTCGGCTCTTAATGCTTTGAGTGGACGGCCTGCGCTCTTCCTCCTCTATGAGGGTGTCAGGGCTGTGCTGCTCTTTTGACTCTGTCGCTTGGAGACTAAGTGAATTATGTGGGTTCCCCCTTTAAGCCGTGATTGTTTTGCGCGGCCCCCCCTTGCCCAAAAGGCAAAGCGCTGGGCCAGCAGTAGTCCCTGTGGCTCTGAATGCCACCCCCCAGATGGGGTCGGCTTCTCCGCGCCGCTGTCACAAAGGGGACTTTTGTATGGACGGACAATCCCACAGTGGCTGCCACTTCAGAACAAGCAACGCTTTTGTTTTGAACTAAATTCCATGAAACAGCTAATTTCAGTGTGAGGTTAGAAGACTTTAGAGACTCTCTTTCAAACAGAACAATGCCTCTTCAACTCGCCCTGCAAAGGAAGGGCCAAACGGCGCTGGTCCAGGTGTTCCAAGCCCATCCACTCTAAAAAGACGGCAATATTAATTTATGATTACGATCCAAGGCCAAAACAATCACGTCATTGTATTCCTCATCACCGTGCAGTGGCGTGAAAGCTAGGCGCAAAGAAAGCTGACAGGAAGAAAAGGGGGCATACAAGACGTGGTGCTGGGACAGGGCTTTGCACAGGGCCTGGACTCGCAGACACAGCAGTGTGCTGATCAGCGCAAGCCAGGGTGTTGCTCAGAGGCAGGAGTGACGCCATGCGCTATCGTGCCTTGGATACACCGTGAGGCGGCGAGACTCCCTGGAGAAGGCAGAGTCAAAGACGACGAAAGGGGAGGTCAAAAATGAGGCAGACGATTCCACCAAGAGTCGCAGCCTTGAATTTACAAGAGCTGAGCGGCGCCATCATGGATAGGTCGTTTTGGGGGGGCTTTCATTCATGGTGTTTCCTTGGTTGGGGGGAGATGACTCGATGGAACAGAACGGTTTCTTCTACACCAGGCTGCATGTTTTAATTCTCTCCTGCATTTTGTACGTGCCTTACAGTTGTAACGCGGTGTTGCCCTTGGCGTGAATCCTGCGACGTGGGTGATAGTGAAGATGGATTAGAAAGAGGTTGTGTCCAAGCTGTCGGGCGACTCGCAGAAGTAGGAGAAGCGCTTGTAGGCTGCAGGAGTTTAAGCCTGGCAGTGCCAGGCTGCTGCAGCAGCTGGAGCGGTTCGTGCCTCCCAGTTTCTGCAGCGGGCGAAAGAGGGCTGGAGCTCTGCCCTGGGGGCGGCAGGGCCGCTCGGCCCTGCTGTGGAGCTGCACCACAGCCACACCTGCGCTCACCGGCTGCAGTGCCGCTCCAGACGCGCCTTCCGTTCTCTAGAAGTGTTTGAGCAGCTCCTGCTTGGAGTGCCTCCGGGGTAACGTTTTGCAGCCTGCACTGCTCTGGGCCCCTCAGGGACACTCCAGAAAGTGGGAAAGCTTTGGCACGGACTTGGCTGACTTGCTCAGGCGTGGCCAGTGCTGCAGCCACACAGCTGCTTGCTTGGCTCGACCCGGTCGCTCTGACACAGTTGTCCGTAGTCCTACAGCCCGCTCAGTCCTTCCATGACTCTGTCCAGGCCCTGCAGCGGCCACTGCGAAGCCTCCAGCCTCTCCCCCTGTCCCAGCGACGCCAAGGCGGGTGTCTGTCCGGCCCTCTGGCTCACAAGCCACGGCAGGTCGCCTGCTGCCTAAGCCGCGTCTCGTTCCCTCCGCCGCTTGGCTTCACTTAGCATTCTGCTCTCCAT